CATCGCTCTGCTGAAGAGTCTCGGCGAGACGCAACAACAGAAGCACGTCGGTAGGCTCAGCGCGGTGCGTGGTCGCCGCACGTTCCGTCTGCAAAGTGCACACTAGGTACACGGCACAATAACGGAAGGGAAAGTAGAGCACCGCTGGCAAGGAGTGCTACAATCAACAAGAAAATCGCGATAAACCAGAGGCCTACAGCAAAACAATGTCGTGTCACACTGTGGCCGAAGGACGCACCGAAGACGAGCTCGTCCATAGCGAAAAGTGTATACCAGGGTGCACCAGCGGGCTGCAATACCTGGAAAAAAGGTCCCTTGCAGAATGTAACTGCGCTGCTTACGCATAGACCGGGACGGGCTTCTGAGAACGCGAGACAAGTTACTCTCTACGTTCACCAGTGCTGCCGTCTGCACGGCAGTGGGACTTGAGACAACACTTTCTAGCGGAGGAAGGTGTCTCATGCAGCATTCGTACGGCGCACCTCAGCATCGAGGCATTATATGCAAATACGTACGGGCGCTGGGGGTGCGTGCTCACAATGGGTTTCACAACGAGTCTTATAAACAGACAAGTGGAAAGTATCACAGCATGTAAGGTGCTGACTTAGCCACCTGCTGCAAAAGTTCCTCCCGGTCACACATCTACAGGAAAACTAAAACAGAACAGCTGCCATACACCAGGCAAGGCCACCGCGATTCCTGACCAAGTCTCAATGTCGCGAACAAAGATGAGCACCTAAGCCTTGTTCTGCCGCTGCAAAAGCACAAACAAAGTTCTCCACCTGCAGAAAAACTTTCAGCACCGAGGGAGGCGAAGGCAATTTCAGTCACAATCGCGCACAGGACTCAGCCCTAGAAAAGCGACAAATTCTAGGATAGCATGTGTAGAAAGCGGGACCGAAAGTATGTATATGTTTTCAGCTGCATGCTCAGCAGCCGCTGATTACCGGGATAGAGGGCGCGTCACAAGGAAGCACCGTGTGACGCGCAGCGAACCCTGTCGACACGGGGAGGCGGCAGACACGTATTGCGTAGTCCAGCACGTTGTGCTACAGCCGAAGATGTAACCAGGCATCGACCAGCAGACTAGCAGCGACCTACAGCCTTGAGTCTCTGCCTTGCCAGGCAGCGAGGTCTGGGAGCACACGTTGCAACGTCAGAACGGTGAGCTGCTGCTGCATGCCCAGTTCCACACTGCCCATCCACCAGACAGGGAGCGTTTTCACAAGTACCGGAAGCTGCTCCTCCAGCTGTTGCGGCGGCGTCTCGCGTTCCTGCCGCTGATGGATGTCCACCAGCATCTGCTCCGAATCCTCTATCAGTCTCCATATGCTAGCTATCTCCACCGTACCCACCCGAGGAATCACGGGAACATAGCGCGCCTCCGCAATCGTTTCTACTTTTTGATTGTCGTCGTCGCCGTTGCGCCCGTCGCTCCGGATGTTGCTGCCGCCTCTGCTGCTGCTTCCTGCGAATTCAGGTGAACACGCTACCCCCACAGGCGCAGCGCGCCCTGCTCCTTGGCAAGCAGCACCAAAGTGCCGATCAGTCCCCCCGTCGGTACAGTCAGCACCCTTCGCAGACCGGGCACCCCTTGGTGCACTACACTCGCTCTTGCCGGCGTTGCTGTGGTCGCCTGCGCCGCGCTCCACGGCTGGGTGGTCCTTAGCTTGCCCCCCATGAGCGCTGTCGTCGTTGAGCGTGCTAGTAGTCGTGGTAGACATGAATCCGTCGTTAGTAGCACGGCGACAGCTCCTTACGCTCCTGCCGCTAACAGTTACAGCCTTGCTTATGCTAGTATTACACTTACTGCTGCCGCTTAGGAGCCCTGCCCCTGTATTAGTACTCTTGCCGGCCGCGGAAATCCCGTCACTGCGACCGTCCTTTGAGTTGCTGTGGCTGACGTAACTGCTAGTGCTGCCGTTGCGCCGGCCCGTGCTACTAGCGGGGCCGCTGGTCCCATTGTCACAGCTGCTGCTATTGCACGTGCTTCTGCGGCGGCTGTTGCTGGCGGCATCGGCATTGCGTCCTTCGGTCACAGCGCCCTCGCAAGCCATGGCGACAGGAGCTCGCCCGGACGTGCAGCATCCATTCAATAGTATCAAACCTCCGGCAGGGTGGAAAGTGGCAGCAGCGGTCCACGATCTTGACGGGCCGCTTTGCACGTTCGCCCTCACAGTCCACGCTGTTTGTACACGCAGAACCGCCGCCGTGTGACAAGTCTTTTTCGCCCGCCGTTGCAATTGCATGAGTACCCTCCCTTTCTAGTATGCGATGCGTCGGCGTGGCCTTCGAATGTATACAGGTGCTTTCGCCATACGCGCTCGCGCTTCGTTCCTCTCGCGCAACATCCATCTCACCTGAATCCTCTGCAGCTGCTGATCCCCTCGTAAAATTGTCAGAGATACTGTGCGACTTGGTGTCCATCCTGCCCTCTACCGCTCTTGCCGTATCCTGACGCAATATTTTGCTTCCCTTCTCCTTAGCATCGATGTCGCCGACCTGCTGACTGCCCTTTTCTGCGCTGTTCTCTGCTGGTTGTCGCTCGCCGGTCTGCGCAGCAGGCGACGTAACGTCTGCCCCACTTGCTTGAATGAGCGAGTCCTCCTCCGGCGTGGGGAAGGCCGCAGATTTCACAACGGTCCCAGGAACCCCGCTGCCATCAGCCTGACATGGACTGGTTCCCACGACCACAAAAGTACACTCTGGGCCGTCCCCTCCACAGGTTGCATTGGCAGACAAGTGAGTAGCAGAAAGGTAAGCGGCACCTGCAGACGAAACAGTACCAGCAGGTAGCTTAGAAGCAGAATCGGGCGTACTTCTCCGTAACGTAGGATACTGCGCTGTTGCCTCGCGTAAAACGCGGGGGGCACAGCAGCCCTCACTCGTGTGAGAAATGTCTGCCGTCTCTTGCCGTCCGATACCTTTCACATCGCGGTGAAGCCTTATATCCGGAACAGAGAGGACACCAGACGGTTGTGCGCTTTCCTCAGTAGCGTCGGGTGCGGCAACCTGACTAGCACTTTGCTCTTCGTTCTTCGCCAGTGCCAGCCGCGACGACCCCTGTCTCCGTAGCCGCGCAGCCGTACCTGGAGAAGACGAAGGCAGTTTAGACATGTGCTGCGGTTTGACGTCTCGTCGATACAACCCTTTCGTTCGGACTGCCTTTTGCTGCTGCTTCTGCTGCTGCACCTTCTTGTGCTGCTGCTGTTCTTGCGCTCGTGCAGCCAGTTCTGCTTCATGCCAGCGCCGCTTCAGAAGCTGATCTTCTTCGTAGAGCTGCTCCGCGAGCTTCGCCTTGAAGGCTGTTTCTGCAATCGCAGCCGTGCAGCTGCTGTCAGCGTAGAGCTCCAGAGGTTGCAGCCCTGCTGCCTCCGCCGCAGCAGCAGTGACAGCGTACTGCGGGAAAAAACGCAGATTGTGCCTGAACTGTACCAACCCGTAATCTTGAGGGAAAAGAGAAAAAAAAAACAAGTTACTGTGCAACTCGTTGCCGTCACAGAGCCGCTGCGCAAGTCGCTCACGTGCCATCGACAACTGCTGCACCTGCGCCTCCAGCTGTGCAGACACATGCATGCGCTGATACCAATGATACAGGTATCCACTCACGGTTACGTTTTCAATGAAGCCGACCGCACTTCCTGCACGCTCTTCAGCTTCACCTGCCTCTATGCTACGTACGACCGGTTTGCTATCAGTCCGTTGCTCAGTAGCTTTGCTGCTACCTACCGCAGCCCTGTTGTCGCTGTTAGTTCCTGCGATACGTGCCTCCTCTGCTGTTCGGCTGACGTTTGCGTGGGTTTTGCTTATGGCAGCTCCTGCTTCGTGCTGCTGCCGCAGCACAGTCTCCTGCACGGAACACAGCGAAGCCGCACTAGGCACGTACGCCGGCCGCTGCAGTGTCCCAGACAGACGCACACGCCGAGCAGCAGTCGCAGAGCTCGCGAATCCGGGTGGGTACAGCATGAAGCTGCACGACTCCAGAAACACTGGCTGCTGCTGGAGCGTGGCAGCGTAGGTGGCCGCCTGATGATGCTGCGATGCCGTCAGGTGCATCCACTCTTCTTCCTGTTGCGACTGACTGGCGTGCTGCTGCAGCTCCGGCTGTTGTTGGCGCTCTTGCCTCTCTTGCGCTGCGCGCCCCTTCGGAGAGATTTCGGCAGGACGAACGCGCTTTGTCCTGGCTGCCGTCTGCCTCGGTTTCTGTTGTTCCGCTTCTGCAGCGGCTGCTGGGGAGTCGGGAACAGAAACCCCCGCAATACTCTCAGCACTCATGCATTTGCGGTTTGACGAGGGGGACGCCGCACCTTCAGCCTGCACTCTGCTACGTATGTCTTTGCTGCTGCGCCCGCTAGCACGCCGCTGATGTCTGAAGGCGATAGTCAAGCTGTATGTCTCTGCCGCTTCCAACGAGAGACGGGACGGCTTGCGAGTCCTGCGCCCCTCACTCTTACACAGCTCTGGAATTCCCGGAGGGGACTCCGGCGCTGCTGTGGGGGATTGGCTGCATCCATCTGCTTCAGCTGAAAGCGCGTCAAAATCCTTTACTGCTGCTACACCGCTGGGGGTGTCAGCGGCTGCTGGCGCTTCTGCCGCACCCTCCTGCGCTGCCAGACGACCGTTCCGATCTTCGGGTCGTGCTACTGCAGCTGCTGTGGTCGCGTCAGTAGATGGCGGTCCCTGAAGCGCTGGTGCAGCAGCAGCAGCTGCTGCTGGTGCTGCTGCTGCTACTCGGTGCTCTGCTCCCGCCGAATCCTGCTGCGCAGCCGCTGCAGCTGGAATTTTCGCCGCTGCTGATACTTCCACGTTCTCCCCCGTTAGCTGCGCTGTGGTACCACACGGTATGAGGCCTTCACCGCGTACGCTTTCTTTTATGTCTGCCGGGTTTTCTGATGGCGGCTTCGCAAGGCAGAAAGAGAGGTGATCTTTGACCTCATCTACCGCATGCAGGCGCTTTCTAGCTGCGCGCTGCAGCAGGAGCTGCTGAGGAGTCAGCGCTCTCCAAGGCGGTCGCTGCGGTTGTTGCGGCGTTCGAAACGCTTCCTCAGCACTAGCAGCTTCTGAGCACAAGTGATGCGCGGATCCTGTACGAGGCCCAGCACTACCTTCTGCCTGCTGAGGCTCGCAAAGAGCCGCTGCAGAAGCAGCCACTGTCCCAGAAGCAGCCACTGTCCCAGAAGCAGCCACTGCCCCAGATGCAGCCACTGGCCCAGACGCAGTACCGAGAAGAGCAGGACGACTGGGAAGTGGACTCGCAGAGGCAGCGCGAGCTAACGGCGTGGACGCGGAGACAGAAGCAGACTCACACGCGCGATGTGCAGAGAAGCTTGAGTCGAACCCGGTGGACGGCGCGGGAGCGCCAGGAAAAAGAGTGTCAGAATGAAATAGCAGTTCGAACGGCAAAGCTCGGCGTGAAGGTCTGTGGCTCTCCCGTGGTACGCGCTTCGTCCTCTGCAGAAATCCTGCCGCAGTCGGTGCAACACGCGCTGCACCAGACCCACGGCCGCCGCGCACTGCTGCACTGGCACAGTGTCCTGCTGCTGCAGCATCGGCACGATTCGTCCCTGCACCACTTCCTGACGCTGCAGTGCGTGCTGCCGCTGTCACAATAAGAGGCGCTGTTCCACGCCCGCTTCCTGCTGCAGCGATGCCTGTAGCTACCGCACCCGCTTTTCCTAACATTCTCCCTGCTGCAGGTGTTTTACATGCTGCTACGAGGGTGCGGCCCCCTCCCGCAGCTGGATATGCCATTGTAGAGGAGGTGAGCAGGCCGTCAAGCTGCCCAGGCGATGCGGTCGGGGGCGAAGAAAGGGCAGGCGCAGAGCACGAGCACGCCTGTGCACGGCGCGCAGCGCTGACGGCCGGAGGCCTTAGTCGCAGCGACAGCTCATGAAGAGACAGAGCTACTCGATTGTTCCCCGTGGAATCACAACTACGAGCAGCAGAGGTAGCTGCCACAGTGGCGGCACATGAAGCTGCACCAGTGGCAGCAGCAGACGATGCAACACCTACACGAAAAGCCACGCCATCAGCAGAGACTTTTGGAGGTGTAACGCGGACACCATGAGAGACCTTCTGCGCGGAGCCGTAAGGATCAGCCGCTTCGTTGATCCTTCCCGCCGCAGTGACGAAGTCACGGACAAGTAGCTCTCTCTGTTGCTGCTGCGTATTATCCGTGGGCGCCAATGAAGTTTCGCGCAACAACACAGAGAAGCCTCTATTGCCATGATCATCACGCTGAGGTGCAGCAGCCGCTGCGCCCCCCGCTGTAACTGAAGGCTGCGGGGCAGCATTCCCGGCAGCACGGGCAGCTGTCATAGCGTTCGCGGGACAACCGGCAGAAGCACCAGCAGGAGGACCGGTAGCGGTAGCAGGACGAGATGTGGGGGCGCCGATGCGGCGTACAGGTATGTTGATTTGGCCAGGATGATTTACATCTGCTGCAGGTGGCGCAGCGCCAGCAGGAGCTGAAGCGGTATCCACACTAACTGAAGACGTAGACGCAGGATTACTTGCAGAAGAAGCGCCAGGCGCAGCAGGATTACTCAGGGACGTGCCTGGAGCAGCAGGAGTACTGGGGAAAGCGCCAGGCGCAGCAGGTACAGCGTTAGAGTGTCCAGAGCCTGCAGTGCGCCTAGAGGCTTCAAGCGGAAGGGTGGGACGCTGGGGTGCAGCAGTAGCGTCCAATGAAGGGGCAGAGTGAGACGCAACATTCGCAGCAACACGTCTTCTCGAGTTACCACGAAGTTGATAGATTGTACGAGAACCAGGAGGACTGGGACAAGCAGCAGATGAAGCGGACGCCACGCACGTAGAAGCCGCAGCAAACTCACCATCAGCAGGACGGCCCCTAGCTGCTATATGGGGGCGGACGGTAGTCCTCTGAGCGAGAGCGCCTGCCATACGTCCTCCACGCACGCTATGGAGATGAAGGCGTGTACTGGCAGACGTGTTCTGTCCGCCTTCCGCAGCAGCTGGAAAAAATGGTGATATCGCAGCGGCAGAGAAGATGGGTGAAACCGCAGGAGCTGCGGAAACAGGCGTGATCACGTGATCCAGCTGCTGCTGTGGGACGTGGCCGGTTCCAGGTACAGGGCAAGCCACCGGGAAAAGGCCGGCAGCAGCAGCTGCAGTCGGTTCAAGAGATTCGGCAGGCAGCCGCGTACTCCCTTCGGCGCCTGTGGGTAATGCAGTGCTACTGCTTCTACCAATAGAGACGTCTGCTTCTGAAAGAACAGCACCAGCAGCTGCTAGTGCAGCCAGTCCGAAACCGCCGACTGGCCGCTGCCCCACCTCAGAAAGATGCGGTTCCTCCATGACTGCTGCAGCAGCTGTGCTGCAGTAGTCGGCGCCGCCTACGTACGCAGGGTAAGGACATAGACGCTCCGCAAATGTATATACATATATACATACCTGACGTCGCAGACTCAGAAGCACCTATCAGCCCGCACGCAGTACCAGGTGGACCGCAGGCTGCGTAGGCTGCGCGGGAGGCCCCCGCAGCAACAGAGAAGACCACAACATGCGGAGGTACAGGAGAAGGACACACTGAAGCAGCAACATGACCAGTGGAAAAGCCTCTAGCAACAGCAATAGTAGACACGGGGGGCCTGCTGCTATCTGCGGCAGTCCCGGCACCAGTACAGCCAACAAGACGAGAACGCGACAAAGAAGAGGATGGCGTCGCCTGTGTTCTCGTCTGCCTGGCACCTGTACTGCAGAATCTTCCTTGTGTGGACTGTCTTACACTTTCCCTTGTTTCGAGACACCGTACGGCATGTGTCGTGCTAGCGCGTCCTCGCGCTGGGGCCGCTTGTACTGAGAACAAGGATTGCTCCCGGGCGGACATCAGCGAGGAGCACAAAGGACAGGTGGAGGCTCGACCGGTTGAACATACGTATATATATATATATATATATACGTACATATACGCGTGCAGACAGATACGTTCAAACATATCCAAATATACGTGTATACAGGGAGCACTAGCACTGCACCTTCACAGCACTTCGCGCTCTGCTGGACGCGCCAAGGACTGATACAGCGGAAGCGCATACCTGCACAAAACACGCCGCGGGCGGCACGTGTGTAGCATTCAGAGCGCACGTCACATTCTCGCGAGCGTACCGCGCCGTGCGAGCGATGATTACTTCTAACAAAACATACAGTTGCCAAGCTTGTGATTTTGACAGAGCCCCGCTATCTCAGCTCTGGAAACCCCAAAAAGCTCCCCGTGCACGTGCGGCATAAAAACAAAATAAAGTCGACAAACGACAAGGCAGAGGATGCCGCTCCTGTAGGCCTGTCCCACCAAGCATGCACAGACGGAGGCAAGCTCATCAGGTTTTTTTACAGGTATATATACTGTCAACGGAGGCGAGCTTACCAAGTCTTTTTACATACATATAGTACCGTACGCGTGGATGCGCCTCGGGGAGAAGGTTACGGCAGGCGGGTGCGTATATTGCGGCTGTTCGCAGAAACATGCGGTTGCCGCAAGCATGCACAGAAATGTGCGCGGTGTGAAAGGGGAGAGGGAAGCTGAGGCGGACCCCCAGCAACCACCCTGCTGGGTCTTACGAAGTATGCAAAACAGTATTCTACCTCGCACGGAGTCCTTCCTTCACGGATGGACGGTAATTGGCTACCTGCAGCAACATATGAGCCTGTGTCTTTATAAACATATGTGCGTGCGTACATGCTAATATACTATATGTATGCGTCGAGAGGCAAGAGTGCATGAAGGGTGATGCAAGATGAACTAATGAGGAGGCTAATTCACACGTGCTACTACCGAAGCGGGGTGTACAATAGAGGAAACCGTAGCTCGACACTAACCAACATGCGTACCGGAACGCCGCCCAGACACCAATGGAAGATACAGAACAGCTTCAGGCAAGATAGGGGAGATACGGCCTCGAAACAGGCGAAAAAAAAGAAAGGGGTGCGAAGGCAGCACGAGTTCCGAAGGACACACGCGAGGCAGTACTGAAAAAACGAGGTTTCAGATTTCGAAACTCATAGTTATGCAATAACCCTGAACCTCATCATGCAGCCATCACTCACACAACAAGTGGATACCGGCCTCTGTAGTCGGTCCTTGCGGAAGGATATTATCGGTGAAGCCGAAGCTGGGAACACGGTAAAGGGAAGAGATACAGGAGATCTGTGCGAGGAAAATTTGAGCGAGATGCATCATCCGTGAGACGGACCTAAGAAGGCGATGCGTGAGAGGAGAGAAAGAGGAGATGTGTGGGAACCAAAATCAAATGATTAGTGCGTCCTTCTATAATCACGTGAACGTCAAGTACCCTTGCAACATCGTGCCCTTCACGAGTGCGCAGACTACAAAGGCAACTGTGTTCTCTGTAAATTTCGTGTCAGAAGCTGCGCTACACATCTTCCTGTTGTCGCCGAGCATACTGTTGACGCTGAAGTTGCTTCATATTATGCGGGCGCCACTACTCCTCAGCGTCGTGCTGTTGCCCCTTCTGTGACGAGTCTTCCTCATCAATAGGTTTGCTGCTGCTGCTTCTACGTTGTACTGTCGCTCATACGTACATATATACATATACACATACATATATACACACTGACGTAGACATGAACACTTGTATACATATATATATATATGTATGCGCATGTGCAGCTGTAGTTCTTCGATACTTAACACACACAGGACTTGACGGTGCTCTCCCCGCTACGCGTTGCCGCTGCCGGTCTTCTGTAGCACGCTGGAGTAGCAGCCTGCTGCGTGCGCGTAGAGTCAACTGTTCACCCCATAAAGCATACCACCGCGTCACGAGGTGAGTTCTGCTCTGAGCGACACACCTACAATAAAGCAGCACGACTACGGCACGTGCAGCGAAATCATATGGGGGCGTGATGCAGTGTCCGAGACAAAACACCAAGGACACCACCCGCCTGCTGGTTACAGATCCATGTAGTGACACCCGCGGTGTGAGCTACATTTCGTACCCAGCCCCGAGAGGCACATCTCGAAGCCTTGTGGCTTCCGGCAAAAAATCCGACAGCCGCGGCGGATGAAAATGTGAATGGGCCGCCCTCTTTCCGCTGTCCGTATATGCGTTGAGCATGAGCACAGCGAAGCTCGACACTCTCCGCGGCCAACACAGAAAGCCGAACTAAGAAAAATTCTTGCGCTCGGCATCCCACATGCCGCGGTGCCGCCGCCAGCAAATACAAAATTTTAGCCCCGAAAGTAAATATCTGCATGCGACAGATGCAGACCTCGCAAGCGAAAACATACATGCATGTGCCTGTTGTATCTTTTCACAGTGAGTCACTTCCCGCAGGCGGAACCACCATGCAGTCCGTCCACAGTCTTTATACGGCCCATGAGCTGCGTACCAGTTCGCGGATAAGAATACTTAGTATATACGGCCACCTTTTTCAGTGGATTGTGTCAAATGAAACACGCGACCCGTCCTACGCGTGACGCCCTGCCGGCACTGGAGACGTGCACCGTGCACTGTTGGGCGTCGACTCTCCGGCATATGAAAGTCCGCTCGAAAAAACATCAAGGATGACAGCAGACACGGGCGAACAGCTCTGTATACGGAAAGTACAGCTTGGGGAAAAGATCGCGGAAAATATGGCGTCATTCCTCCGAGACATAGTAGTCCGCGGCACCAGCAGCCGGCTACCGATCTAGTACTGTACTAATCTGACGGGAAGATGTTTAACTTTCAAGCCATTACGCCACGCACGGCAGGCGAGACACAGAAACGCATTGTGGTGAGGCACACAATGGAGAGAATAGCGCGACGAATTTTCCGTATTTGATGGAGAGAGTGGCAGGGACGTGTGCTAGCATGCAGGACGTGCGCCTACGTGGAAGAATGTTGCATGCAGGCTTTCGCGTGGAGACGGCGGGCAGTGTGGTCAACTTCATCATGACGTGTGTGTACCCGGATCCACAAGTCAACGCACGTGTACAGATCCGTCTCGCTTCGCGGCCGCGCAGAGGCCGCACACTCGGCTGGCCGGGGCATGCGCCGCGACGATGAAACCTTCGTGCCTGTCTGTATGCATGTGTATACGCAAATTCTTCATGTGGGAGACTTCGTGCAGGGGCGCACCTAGTCCTAATGAGACTGGGTGCGTGGGTGGGCGTCAGCGTGTTCGTGGTACTCCTAATTCGCGTCCTCGAGCGACATCACGCGTGCGCCCGCGCGAGCGGATGCCAATCACGACCCCCAGATGCGAGCTTTCCCCACAATCTATGACGTTTTAGCAGGCGGTCATACACCCTTGTCTGCCGTGCGAGATGGGTGCCCCGTGCCGACAGGCCTGGTGGCTTCCCCGCGGACACTGGCGGGTAGCATCACTCGACACAGGGTAATGCACGCGCATACTCCTCGACGTGGCGGGTGGTGGCCCCGCCTTCGCTGGTGTGTGCGTGTGTGTGTGTTGTAGGGGCGTACGCAGTCACAACGGTCCTGATAGCAGCAGAAATACCGGGAGAGTGGGAATGGCGCGCATGTGCACGGCAAGTCTGGCAAGGGTTTGAGGTAGGAGAGGAACGTTGCCCTTACGCAGGAGCACGTGCAATACGACTAGTCCGAACGAGCTCAGCCTCATCCATACTCTGCCTCATTACCTAAGTTGCCGTAGACGCAAATAATCGCCGAAGACCGGTACCACGGCTTTCTGGACAGCCTTGTGCCCTTGTACGCTGGTGGTGGTGCTAGTTACGGCCTGCAAATGACGCTAGCTGAGGGGCTGAAGGCTCGCAGGCTTCTGGCGCCGACGTGCCAGACAAACAGAATCATGTGAACTGCGGAGTCGGACCAGCGCGCCACCTACGTAGGTAGGGCGGAAGAGTGGAGGCCTTCAGAATCATGAGGCCCTCGCCTATCTAACGATATGTATCGCCTGTGGTGTACCTCGCACCGTCATGTAGCGCCGCTCGGCTCACTTGCCGACATCCGCAGCTGCAAGCATAAAGAGAGGGCATACGGCGGCCATACGCTGTTGCAGAGCGTCTGGCAGCGGTACACAGTGTCTCGCTTTAGCCCGACAAAGACCGCAACGTGTCTCGCAGAAAGGCATCCAGTCGAGACAGAAAAACAGGACATGGCTTGTTGGGAAGGCGTGTGTATACGGGCCACAGATGGGCTTCTGCTTTCCACGTGTGCCGCCGCACTGCTGCGCGGCGAGTGCTTCAACCTAGGCAGCGCTGTGCACGCAAGAGGATGAGTCTCGCTGTTAGCAGATGTGATGGTGAAGCAGAGTGCTCACTGCTGCTATAAGGGGCCGAAAATGTCTGCTTATACGGCAGACTGTGTATGTTATTATTCCATAAGCCCGTGGTTCTCATCACAAAGGGAGTCAGGCGTCGACATCATTGAGGATGCTGGCGCTGTTGTGAAATCGTCCCCTACGTTGGGCGGTGGCTGGCTTCCTTGCTTTGAATAGTGCAAAAGCCTGGTTGTACGTCGAGCTAACATGGTGGCACACGGCTGTTAATGACACTGGAGTGCCAGCCTCAAAGTCGATGACGCTCGGGTCAGGCGGCAGCAAGATTGCGGCATGGTCGGAAAAGATGATTCTTGTGCAACGTAGCACGACAAGACATCTGCATATTTGTACGGAGGCGACGTCTACGCTGTGCACAGGCGCAACGCCGCTCGTCACACCGTGTAGCCCCCCCGAGCTATACCCCTTGCTGTAGAAGACGGGTTGTGTCCGACTGCGTCCCGCAGGTTAAGACGTTCATTTGGCATTCATCTGCGGGACAGACATTCTTCGGGCAGCCTTTTTTAAAAAGAGTGGCACTCCGGGTCACGAAGACGGGGCACGGAAGAAAAGGGCCGCGTAGAATGTCAGAAACTCACTGCTGACGTAAATAGAAGGTAAGTCACACAAAACCACGCTCGTTCTACTTGTTCACCGGCGTGAGAGAGGTTCACGCGTGCGGCAGTGAAATCAACCATTGCGCAGCACTCGTGCTCTTTTCCTGGTGGCCGGAAACCCTTGGCACGCTCTTACTACACGTGCGCTAGTTGCTGCAGTGTCGTGCGCGGCCTTGGTGTGGATGCGAGACGCCGTGCTGCTCCCTCCGCGTGCTGGCGTCAGACCGGTGCCACGCCATCACTACGCGTGTCGTGAATATTATCATTCTGTGAGCGCTGGCGCCCACTTCCCCCTCATCTCGTTACCTCGAGGCGACTGCTTCACATGCAGAGCGGGGTACGCGGGAGCGCACTTTCGGCAGGGACGCTGTGCTATGACATACGGTGCAACAGCTTTGCTCTGGCTGAATGGGTGTTGTTGATCTTATACGGTGGCAGGTACGCAGTTAGCAGAATTCGCCACACACGCGTTTATAGTGCAGCAACTGCTATCGGGGTGCAGACGGCGAACACCGCGACGGCAAACCACTCGACGGATGGCTGCGGGCATTACCAGAGCCCCTATTTCCCTAGTTGAGCACTTGGCGCCCTCGAAGGTAACCATTCAAAGAAGCCACACATTATCTCGCGCAAGCGTGCGCTTGACCGCCGCGCTGCACTAGCGTCTGCAGTAGGGCGTAGTAGGGCGTAGAAGAACCGTTCGCATGTATCGACCGGCAGCGCGTCGCCTGCTACTAGTGTCTGAGCCGTTCCTATTATGAAACAGCAGAAGACAAAAGATGCAGACGTGGATGCTCGTCGGCTGGTCGGCTCTGCCACTAGGATTCTCGTATATCGACTGTATAGCGACAACCACAAAGTGTGGCCAGACCCGACGCAGGAGGCTTTGCCATAAGATATGCGCGATGCACAACGGCGCCGGGGACTGGCAGGTATGCGGGTGGAATCTCGGGGACGGGTGCCCGCCCGGCTCTAAGCACATCTATGTATCTGCGTTATCACCATTGCAAGATCTGGCAGGCACCAGCAGCGACCGGTAGCATTCGAAGTATTTTCCTTGTGTACCGCACGTCCCGTCGTAAGCGCACTCAGTGTTTGATTCCTGCCTCCAGAAATCAGGGGTTACGCCCCTCTTTACTGTCGCGCGGTAGCACTCAGGAGGCAACGTTTGAATGCACACATTGCCAGGCGTAGGACGGTGCGGTGCTTGGCAATAGATGCGATACAAAGCATTACGCGTGTTCACGAAGAGGGATACGACGCTACTGCATTATGCATCCTCACGCTTCTGCGTCAGTACATCTATTCCGGCGACCTGCAAAACTTGCGTGGTTGCTTGACACGGTGGCGGATGTCAGCTGCGTCGGTCACCACCGCGGTGCTGACACAATGCGTCACCCCAGTGCGTAATGCTGCTGAGCGCGCATGCCCGGCTTTCAGTTGAAGCAACTATACTGCAACGACTCCCGAAGTGAGGAAGCCCTCCGGAAACGCTCAAACTCAAGAGGCTCCTGATGTGAGGCGGCCGCGTGCGCGCAGTATCCCCGCTCTCAGATGGCGTCCAGGATTCCCACCAACCAGAATACTTGTTTCTCCGCCTCGGGATTCCACACCAACCAGAATACTTGCTTCCCCGCCTCTTTCACTTGCCTCGTGCTGGGGCAAATGAGTTGAAGACCTGTCTAGATCGCCCTGCCGGAAATGCACATTAGCATTAGCTTCTACCAGCTAGCTGTCTTCATGTGTCAACACAGTATCGCTTCAAATCACAGCTTGAAGAGAGCTGCGGCGGTCAGGCGGACCGAGCGCCCAATTGATTATCAGTCAGGCCATCAGCAGGTGGCGTTTGTACACAGCGTTATTGTGGTCGTATGTCGCCGGCCACATCCTTAAGTCTTCGTGCGCGAGACATGCCGGAACACGTACACATGACGTGTTCAACATGCGGTCGCGCAAACACACGCACACACTTCCCCACGGGCCGACATCATGGACCAAGGCAGCTAATATGTATCCCTAGACACCCATGCCGATATAGGCAGCATCATTCCGCTAAAACTACAAAAACTGAAGAAGCACCAGGAATACCCTACTAAGAACTGCTACTCAAGGCCGAAGCACGCGGTTCACCGTCCGCGTCCTTGTGGTTTTGCGTACGCTCTCTACTGCGATGAGCAGCAAATTTTCGCGCGTACACGACAAAGATACAGAGACCCGAGCTGCGACACTCTGCGGTCAACCACTGTGCACGGAGCTCTCTCAGGCGCGAGGAGCCCCCACCCGGCGGGAACACTAGGCTGCGCGGGCTGGTGGAGACCCGTATCTTCGGGCACTGCTGCAGACTGAAGAGGAGCTTGGCTGGAATGTGTGCTAAGAAAGCTTACACGTGCGTATCCGCATGTGAATACGGAATGGTATCCGGAACGTCTGGTCTTCCCACACGCGGGAGGCTCACGACGCCGCTTCTCTCCCCATGTATATGGCCTGGTTCGATGACCTGGGCGTGCGGCTACTGCAGTTGTTGAAGGGTAATACCACCTGGTCTGTCTTATTCGCAAGCTGCGGTAAAAAAACTCCGAGGTGACGACAACGACCAAACCACGAGCCTCCGCCGCTCACATACTGCCGCACTTACATCTCACGCGTAGCAGCATCGAGCCCCGGCTCGCCGTGCACGACGGCCTTCTTTATGTAGATGACAATCACAACGAAGCAGCTTCGGCTGTCTCCTAAAATCCTATTTTTGCAGCCCGTGACGGTTCTGTGCGACCAAGGACACATTCGGTCCGCTCGCCTCGTCGCGACTGCTTCCGCGGGAGGTTGAGGATGGGCCGTGTCGTGCCCGCGGGCGTCCACCACGCCCGCTAACGTGTTTTTTTCAAGCAGTGTACACGTGGGCACCTGAGCACGAGCCTCACAGGGGCACAGCGAAACGGCTTGAGGACAGCTGTCCTCTATGGACATTCCCGCGCCCACCACCGCCAGCGAACAAACGCGCACCCTCGCTGACCAGCCAGCGCTACGGCGCTGGCCCCCTACAGCTCGCATGCCCGATTATGCTACCATTTGAAGCGATCGCGATTACAGCGCATGCGCGACGGCATATGAGTGTATCGTCATGTCTGCGGAGCTGGCAGGCTGCATTTGGTACGATACCCATTCGATCGAGATCCAGATGCTTCGCCGCAAGCGGCTTATTGGTTACCCGAGGTCATGGAAGCTCCGCTACCCCTCGAGCTGTTCAGCCGGGAGTGCGCAGAGGCAAATGATGCGTCGCAGATGCCACTCCTTCACTCGAGACAAGAAGCATATGGAAATGGGTCTCGTCGGGGTCGGACGGCTTGCCCACTTTGTGCCTGAGGCTGTGCCTACGCTGTCTTCGTGGGGGGACTGAGCACCGTCACATCGGCCATTGCTTTGTTATGGGATGAACTGTTGGATAGAACGTGTCCTGTTCGACATGTAAGTATGGCTGCTGGCGGTGGTAACAGAGACGTGTCGCGAGATGGGGGTTGCAACCGCCAAGGCCGTGAATTCACAACGTGAGTTCCTGTTCGCAGCTCCGGATGAATGACTGCAGATGAAACGAGACCTCCTCCGGTGGCTCAGGAGGTGTGCACTAAGGCTGTCACTTTGGCTCTCACGCCCGCTGTCTACTTAAAACTCGCATCTGGCTTGGCAGCACCGCTCGCCTGGCGTCGTCACCCCACGTTCCTATAGTGTGGGCTCACGCCGGACCACAGATGACTGCGCGCATATGTCAAGCTGTTCGCGCATTCGAGACACATCGTGCGTAAAAGCACGTTTGATCGCTGAGCTGCAGTCTACGTATGGGGACGGCGCGCACAACAACGCCACTATCTTTATGCGACGCATATGTCCGTGTGGCCCGCTGACCGCATCTTTTTGTTGTAGTATACTCTCAAAGTGATTTTGCGTAAGGCCTGTCTGTTTGTTCACTCTATCTGAAGGCCGGTCCTGTACACGCCGTGCTTGTCTGTCCTCGTGCCAGTCTTCCCCCCCATGGAGAAGGTGCCACGCTCGGTGCTACATGGCCTGTTGCTGTTCGCGGTCTTCGTCCTTGCGAATGATACAGGCGGTCTCTGTTCTGAAGAAATACCAAGTAAGCGAGCATTAAATTCCATCGCACGCAATCTCGAGCTGTAGAGGGCTAGCACCTCACTACCTCCCGAGAGCGGCACGGCGCACAGCAGAAGTGCAGTCCTCCTCCGTGGCGATGTCTCAGGCTGCTTGAGCACATAAACCGAAGCCTAATCAGATTTTAATTGTGACATGCTGTCGGAGCGCATGCTTTCTCAGGCGGTCAGCGGACGCTCCGAGAGCCTGGAAGCAGTTCACCACGCGGACAGACTGGAAGCGCTTCCGGGACGAAGCTTCGCACTTCTTCCAGGTTACTTCGTGATGAGCCGTTTCAGTCTCCAGCGATGGGGGAGCGGCGCCGTGTCGCAGAAGCCGGCGACGAGGGCGATCCGTGGTCGGCAAGACGCGGATGTCGGAGCTCTGGTGGCAACAGCCAAAATCGTGAAGCCTCTCCGGAAAGTAGCACCGAAGCCCCAGAGCACAGGTAATAAAGGCCCCTGCGCTGGGAGACTGCGTGTCGCGTGTTGATATTCCAGCGCTCAACCGTCGGTGCTGACTAAAAGGTCATTAACGCCGGCGGAAATCCCCGTCTATCCGGACCAGTGCAGCACCCCGCTTACGCGCACACTTACGACAGACGCCACTGCCCAGTTCACACCGTCGGCATCAGTGCGCTGCAGTACCTCGTCCTCATAACGCCGGTGCAGCGCAGTGATGCCACTCAAAGGGGAAATGCTAGCTGAAGAGCTTCGAGCGAACTGCTGCCTCCCCGAGAATGCGTCACAGCATATGTGTGTGCCCGGGGTCCGCGTCTTCTGTCTCTCGTGCTCATGACGTGACTGCTGATTCAACGAAGTAAACGCACGTACCTGTGCAGCTTCCAGCGTGTCATTTCCCAGCGTGACCTGTTGCCCCCCAGTAGGCATGATTGCGTGAATCGCCATGTGGACCGAGCCATTTTCGCTCGCATGAGTAAGGTAGTTTGCAATGTGAATCGTGTTCTGGCGCCTTACGGGGGCAGCCGGCGGTGGGCCCTTGAGTGAACCTTGCAATTTCACTGATCTCCCGCACCTTTCTGGTGGTATGCGGTGACTCCGCTTCATGTTCAAGCAGAGATACGATAGGCTCCCCGCCTCCCAGCACGAGAACCGGGCCCATTTACGTAAATTGCCGCGTGCGTCCGGCCTGCAGCACTCAGGCGCGGTTAACAGTCGCATATTCTGACGGACGCGCGTCCGGCTCTGCATTATCCGTACCAGTCCTGCGCTAGTTCCCAGTGATTCTGATGTCGCTACTATACCCTGCAGAGGTATACGACAGCGCCAGAGGCAACAACTGCTCCAAGCGGGGCACTTGCACTAAACAGGCTAGGAGCAGGACGTTCCGGCGCAGGCGGCAACAACAGTGCTACAACCACTGCCCACTAACTCGAAACACGCCTAGAGTGTCGCGCAGCCGAGACAGGGGGCATGCGCAGCATAACAAGCTCAGTCTTACGGTAAGCATGCAGGGACGGTACCAAGAGAGGGCAGCAGCGAAGTGATAAGGAAGACACTATATAGCAGCCCGTGACGTGGGGACCACGAGGACGTCGTTGCAAGCTCAGCGTGCGACAGTGTGCAGCTTTGTGGTCTTCGAGAAGGCTAGGCGAAATCAGTAGCACTATTCTTGAACTCGTACTGACGCACCTAATTCTGCACATTTGGCGAGACTGCGCATCTACAGCTGGCGGTGCCTAACTGCATTGCGCCAGGCGACGTAGACAATGAAACGCCATCTGGGAGCGGCTCTTCGTCGATGTAAAGGGGACAGCATGAACTGTGTAACTCGCACTGTAATGAGTAGGCGACGACGTCTCCGTGCAGCTTTTTGCAAGAGCACGTGCACGCCTCCAGACCCAGACGGGGCAGCTGATGCACTTGTAGCGGCTCTCCGACGTCCCTTCCTTGAATAAGGCGGTAGGTAGCGTCCTTCTTCCCAGATTCCACCCAGCACCTCGTGGCTTCGTGTTTGGCGGTAGCGCACGCGGACCCTTTGGCCTAGATGCGGCCCGCTGGTTGCACGGGCTACGGATATATACGCATTCACGCGCGACGTGTGTACCTGTACATACTGGCGGCTGTGAAAAGGTACGTTTGAGTACCGAGCCGCAAGCAAGAGACGCGGGAGAGGAAGGAGTTTTCACGTGCTGTCGGCGCCCCTTAGGCCCGTGACGCACGCCTGCACGCAAGGCCGTACCCCTAGAGTGAGGTAGACCGTGGTCCTCACCCGCGTCACTGGGCAAACAAGGGCGCTCACGAGAAGCGGAGGGCAAGAAGTACTAGAGCACGACCTTTCAGTTCCTGTGGAGCGAGAGCGGCGGGCGACTGTTGGAGTTGAGGCGTTACTTCTCCCACGAAAGCACGGTATGACGTAGGGCATTGTCAGAGAGCTGCGTAGAGCAGGCTGGGCCTGCGTCTGCAACTGCTCGCCGACGTCTTCGCGCACGCAGTAGTACAAGGGACTCGTCCACAAGCATACGTACAAATCTGTACCATCCCGTCAGCAGGGGCTGTGTACTACGGCTCCACTACTCAGCCGCGTACACGCACGCACCGAGGTCATGTTCTGGCGCTTTAAAACCCTATGCCACGGTACGCGGCTTTGCAGGTATTCTCTACCTGCATTTGCCGAGACCTAACCGACGTGCAGCCTGTGATGCGCTTGCACAGCGTCTACGACAGCATACTCGGGGGCTTCAGTGCGATCCACCAGACGCATAGACAGTGTAGCCTCCCGGTTTCCACATGTAGACATGCGCGCCTGGCAAAGTCCGTTGCACTCGCCTCCGGCACCGGACGCGGCTTATCTGCGTGCGGTGGGGTGCATCGCCTTGTTTCGGCCCTTCACCGCGTTCGCGCCGACACTTGCAAGTATGCTGAACGTTTGTGGGTGGACAGCTTTGCTCCGACGATACCCGCCGGCGCACACGGGGTGTCTGTTAGCGTTCAACAATGTATTGACGTGTACCAGCGGGGGTGCACCACGTGGCGACCTTGACGGTCGGGGCAGCTTTCGTGTGCCGCGTGCAATCGACAAATCTGGGTGCGCGTCCAGGGCGCATGAACGGAGGGAAGCTATGCTGCGAGGCCACAGTACTTCAGGGACTACTTGGGAGAACGCATATTCATATTCGTCTGCCTCCGCATCCAGCAGCTGATCAGTGCTGGAAGCTAGTGAAGAGAGACGAACTGTGTGAGCTCCCAGTAGAATACAGGCCCTCGTCCGACACGCATTCGCATTTCGACGACGCTTTCTCCAGCGCGCGACACGTTACAACGAGCACCTCGGTCAAAGCGAGTTGTCCACGGTAATGAGGGTTCCTGACGGCATACGAGGGGCTGCTCCTCCTGTTAACCTGACACTCTGCTGCCGCTGCTGTTGCTCCTGCTCCTGCTGTTGCTGCTCTCGCATCTGGTACTAGCGCCGCTGGTGTCGACGGACCGGTCGTGAGAATGTCCGGCAGCGGAAGGTTATCTTCTGTTTTGTTACTCCATGTGCGACACCAAATGATCACACTCTTCTGCAGTAGAGACGTGTCTCCCTCTCGTGCTTTTACAGTCATCCGGCTCCTGCAGTTTCGCTCACCAAGTCAGTGTCGCTGCGCAGAAAACGCTGCGTCAAAGCTGGGAGCCACGCCTCTGCAGCTTCCTGCATGCGACCACAGCCCTACTTGCTGATGGGCCTAGCGTCCTGCGTGCAGACGGCTGACATGCCAATAGACGCTAGACTACTTGTCCGAGCAAGGCATAGCCTTGGACGTCTTCAAACTAGTATGACGGATACTCGGCAGGCATGTCTCGCCGTTAGAGATCGGGGAGTGGCTAAATACTCTCTACAAGGCAGGGCTGAACACACACGCTCTCTGCGATACGAGTAACTCTCATGCAGCATCGTGTACTCCTTAATTTGCACCGTATCTGCCACTGAATACTGTTTCTGAGCTGTTTTGCTCCGCCGTGCTCGTGTGCTGCCGCTGTTCGGAAAGCTTTACCCGGTGATCTTGGGTGTTTCACGACTACCGGCCCCAGCCCGCATCAAGCGACCGCCCTTACGGAGCGCGCATACACAACGGACCGCTTTGCCTGACACCACCCAGCAGCACTAGGGCCGTCGCAGAGCCTGAAGGCACCGCTGCAGGCAGGGCAGATCTAGGTTTCCCTACGCATATGCGGTGTTGATTATGTCACAATTCGCTGCCATTATAGAGCAGACCACCAAGCGGCGGCTCGTAGAGGGAAGCGCTGGATACGCAACAGCGCTCGGTGTCTGGCCGTGCCGCGTGAGTCGAGCCGTAGAATGCTAGCCCACAAGAGACGAGAAGGACGTCCTGCGTAGTGCAGCGCTATAGTAAGAATGCAGCCTTCTCCTTCTGTCGAGCAGCCGTTTGCACTGAAGCTTGCAGGAATCGGATGCTCTGGCCCGGTAGGCGTCGATGCTGGTGCGCGGTCCTTCCCCCCGCCTCACCCGCAGGTGGGATGCTCATATTATGTAGGTACATTACTGGTCTCTCAGCCAGCAGACCTTCTGCACTTCTGGGTCAAACAACGCTTTGTCCACACTCTGGCCTGACGTGGGACCTTTTCGGTAGGCGATAATGTGCTTGTTCTTCCATTGACACGGGCCCCGGTATACATGATGCGAAAGTTGTTACACAGGATATGGCCGGATGATTGTCTGTCATACTTGGTAAAGCTGGGCGAACACACGAACAGGCAGGCAGAAACTACAGAGCGGAGAAGTCGAGAAGAGGCCGCTCGTCCAGGGGGACTCCTGCACTGCATCAGAGCCTCCCAGGCTTCTCACCAGTACTCGAGAGCCTAGGGAACTCCGAAGGGCGGCAAGATTGTCTGCGAACGCCACCTCATGCAAAAGAGCCGCTGGCGCCTGTTTTCGTTCTCGCAGGTTTCCCCTTGGTGGCGCTCTGCCAGCTAACGCCGACTGTCGCGTGCTAAGATTTAACAGGGCGAGAGTCAGTCTCTTTTGCGCACGAGTTCT